CCCCCCCCCCCCCCCCAATCAATGAAACAATCTGGAAGAATCGCCTGTCTTGTTCATGCCAAAGAAAGATATGTGCGACCGTTACATTATCCGTGAAGTTGACAACGTACGGATGATGTTTGGAATGCTCACACTCTAGAAAAGGGGCAGTGGGCAAGGAAAAGGAACGACACAAATCTGAAGCCACCAAATATCTCGCCAGTGTTGAATCTAAAACGGCGCATGTTTTCTATGGATCTTCAGCTTGTGCTCCTTACATTTACACTCACCCAAACTGAATGCATTAGCCTTATATTACAAAAAAAAGCGTGTCGTTCATAACTTTACGATATTTGAAGCTGCAACACATCAGACTACTTGGTACGTGTGGCATGAAGCAGAAGGGGGAATTAGCAAATAAGTTTGCTTAATGTCAACTGGCTTTCTTGAACGAAAATCTGTACTTCCAGAAAACCATCATCAACAGCGACTGCTGTGGTTACCAATACAGAAATGCCACACTAGCCAATGTTTCTCTCAGCCTGTGTGCAACAACATATGGTAGCACAATTAAACAGAAATGGTTGATCAAAGGACACACAAATGGAAGTTGACTGTGCACTCAACTATTGAAAGATCGTTCGAAAAGCATGAATCGAGGTCGACCTACACTACCTCCATTTCTCCAGGATGGCCAGACAAAAACCAGACAAATATTTGGATCACACATTATTCTAAGTGAGGAAGCTACACGTCTATCAGACTAGGAAGAAAAACGGGTGATCCTGTCGCCACCGACATCAAGTGTTTGAAGTACACCCCAGACATGAACATCCAGTTCAAGCTGCACTTCAGTGATGATAGCCATCCAGCTACACCACTGAACACAAAACGTCTTAAAATCCAGCACTCCCAAGTACAATCACCTGTAGGAGCTTGAATCTGTTGTTTCCAATATACGTCATCACTTTATAACAGTTTACCCCCTTATCATTAATAGCTATTCATTATGGAAGGGGGGGGGGGGTTAAGTCCCAGACATCGTACTGATCTTTTTGGGGAGTTTTGTCCGCACGTACGTTATGTATTTTCATAATTAACCGAATTAGTATTCAAGACCCACTACATTTTATTTGATTTACATCCTCCATTCGTTTTTCAAAGCATTTTGTGTTGGGTGTTTGTGTGTAATGTGTGTGTGTGTGTGTGTGTGTGTATGTGTGTGTGTGTGCATGTGTGTGTGTGTGTGTGTGTGTGTGTGTGTGTGTGTGTGTGTGTATTACATTATTTTCTTAATAAATTTTGTAATGGACTGACGCATTAAAACTTTGCAAAACAGGTCTATAACATTTTGATCTAGATCTATTTCTTTCCATTGTGAAAGCCATCTGTAGTGCAACCAGAGACCATATTGCAGAGATATACTCTTCATTTGTGCTTTTTTTTTAAATGGAAGTAACCAGATCTAATCCTGGGAAATTATATTGAAACAGATTGCAAAAATCGCTGATCCCCAAATTCTGCAGATAACACACATTTATTTGACTTCAGTTGGCCGGGAATCCAACTCTAAGCTAATTGATCTTGAAGAAACATCTTCATCACTTTGTGGCGTTCCAAACAACAGATGCATACTGCAACCAAATGAGCAGCGAGAAAACTCGCAACCTTCAAACTCTGTCCTTATGAAACCTCGCAACCCTCCCGCCGGCTGACTACGAGGTTTCATCACGACAAAAATGTTGTAATGAAACCTTGCATCCCACAGCGTAACCATTTAAACAGTAGAAAAGTTATTTTTATGTACTAACCACGTTGCTAAGGTGCTTTCATTTACCTGTACCGACTTTGGTTCATATAGATCATTTTGTTCACGAGTAAATCAGTTTTTTGTCTCTCCTGTAAAATTTTCCTTTCTGGTCACTCCACCAGCGATACATACAAGACAAGCAGTTGTACTGTCAATTGTACTCATGCTGTACTCATGTCCTTGAAGCAAAGATGAGCCACGACATCCTCGTCGGATAACAGAAAAAAGGGTGGTTGGCAGGTGCTTCGGTGTAATTTGCTCCTTCATTCCTGTCAAACATCTATTGTCAGGGTCTCTACTTCTCCTTTTTGTCCAAGCCTATGTTACTTTCTCGTAACATCTCTTATATTCAGCAATTATAATATGTCCTTAGTGTGTTGCAAGGGGAGTAAAACTATTAATAAAACAAGAAAAAAATGTTTAAAAATATAGTGGTATAGACTCTTCCCGTGTGCTGGATGTCTTTCTTGAAATTCTTTTCTCTCCTTTTATGTCCCCAAATCCCCTAGAACCAGTTCTTCAACCATAATCCATACCCCTTAACTCACTTTTCTAGCTTGTGCCATCACAAAAAGTTATTCAATGAACTGCCCTGCGAGGACACTTCGTCTGACCCGCTGTCACGCGACCAAGACCAAGTGGGGGGAAATGGAAGAGGTGTTTGTGGCGTACCCAGAACTTGGATAGAACTTGGATACCAATGCAATTTAATAACTTCATTGAACCTTACTTTGAAAATTAAACCAGCGTTTTGCAGACTTCGAAAATTTCTTGCTTATGTTTTACAAACTTGAAAGACTACAAATAAAAATCAGGCATTACAAATGGGTTTCTTAGTGTGCATTAATCCCGGTCCAAGGAAGAGTTCCAAGTTCAGGTGGTATTATTTTTTTTTAAACATGCAAGTGGATTTTCTTGCATTTTTTTTCTAATGGAAAGACACGACGAGGAGTGCTTCTATTTGTAACTTTTGTTGAAAGTTATAAGGATGGTGATCATGTTATCACTGGAAAAAAGTTTTAGTACACAAGACTATAGACCTCTGGATGGCCACATATTTAAATGGGAATAAAAGGTTGAGGCATTTCCAAATGAGAATGTTAGAAATAGTTGATGGAATGTTTTAGAACAGCTATTAAAATCGACTTGCTTCATAAAGTGAAATATAATATTAAATGTAGCTCTTCATTCATAACATGACAAAATTGACACTGTTATATTTCTAAGTCAAGTCGGGATGTTCTTTTGCGCCCAAAAGTATCACTAGGCTATTTTAAAAGATTGAAACCAATCAGAATAAGTTTCAATTAGAACTTTCGACTTCCATTGCTGCTGCAAAAAACATGAAGTTTGTCGTGAGTTTAACTTTTCTACAAACACTAACATCACAATTTAAGAAACGGAACCTCCAAACTAAATGCCTACCTCCAATCGATAGAACCAAGAGTTTTGTGAGACTTAGGGCCCCGGTTACAAGTACAGAGAAATTGGACTAAAACTGTGCGATCTCTCGAACATATGACAACTCGTTAGGTGAAACCACATAATTGTACAAAGTTTGGACGATAGGACGATGGCTTGGAGACTCGGTCGAGAAATCAAGCGTTGTTGATATTTTTCGTGTGATCACGGTCAGACGTGCTGTGATGTAGAATCACTTCAAAATTTGCCGCCGCGCAGGATTAAGCTTAGGACGCAAAATGTTTTAAAATATTTATCGCTGCTAGAAACTGATTTCATATTCGGAATCAGCGTCGCGAAATCAGCAAAGTGACACACGAGGAACCTGATTTGATGCGGTCTTATGTAAAGTTTAGCAATTCTATTACTTAATTGATCGTCAATGGTGAAGTTGTGTACCAAGGTCACTCGGTGTGTTGCACATTTGAAGTCAAGCCAAAGTTTCTACACACAACACATTAAAATGTACACGGGAGGGGATAAGGTAGAAGGGAGGGGGGGGGGGGCTCTCGTGGTCTAAAGATACAGCGTTCACCTATCATTCATTATGTCCAGAGCTCGAAACCTGAAAGCCACGGAAATTTTTCTTATCTAAAAGTATGTTCTCTTTTTACCTCTCTGTTCTCTAATCATGTTCTTTTTTCTTTATGACGAGGAATATCCCCAATCGAAAGTATACTGGACGATTGATTGAAACGTGTAAATTAACTACACAGTTCGATAAAACAGACAGTTCTCGCATACGACAAATCTGACAAAATGTATCGTTGCGTGTAGCCGGGGCTTTAGAACCTCCTAAAATAATTCAAGTTCAATACGAGTCATTATGGAATTCAGATCTGGGTCTTCACTATAGGGATGGAAATAGTTAAGTATAATATTGTTTTTCCTTTTTGAAAGCATGTCAACTGTATGCTTCTAATAAAGTGGAGACTGTTTTAGAATGCCATTTGGTCTGCTGGGCTAATAATGCTGATTGTAAAGGTGCATAGAGGATGCGTTTTAGCGGGATTTTGTACTACACAAATGATAATAATATGTATTAAGTATTATTATTAATGAATTACACCTATTATAGCCAGTCATTCTATTACAACGTTGTTTTTTTCCTTGTCACCTCTGGTATTTTAGATAAACAAAGTTCTGTTATGAAATTCAGTCAAGTTGGAATTTTCTTTTATTTGCTCTGATAAAGAGTGACGTTCCAATCCAACCCTTAGTCATCCCCCACCCCCACCCCCCAACCCCAAGATTTTGCATGTCGTATTACCAATTGCAAATTGCAAATATTATTGATAAGATAGAATAATTTTCTTCAAGTGTACATGTACCTATTTGGTGTATATCAAACCTTTAAGGAAAGAGTGTGAAACCCCAGGCCGAGGCTTCAGACAAGGCGCCTGGACTTGCTTGCTTACAAAATAGTTCGTGCATGCGTAGACCGCTTAACACATCTGTGCACTGCAAAGACAAATAAACAAAGTTAGAGCAGACTTTCCCTAAACAACACTGTCCTGGGAAGACTTATCTGTTAGTCACAATTGATAAGATCATTGTGACCCTGATGGATCACGAGCAAAGAAAGAACTGAAACCACGGGGAATTGTTTAGATCAAAATAGCAACATCGATATACAAAAGAGAGAAACCGTTCACTTGGGCGAACCAGATAGGACAATAATACAGCTTGCTGTTATACCACGAACCGAAGATTCAAGCTGACTTGTGTCAGTCTTTGTGCCACAAACGTCTGAGCATCAGTCCCGAATACAAAAAAAAACAACTTAACCTATTATCAACAAGTGATTCGAGATATCCCAATAAATGCTCAGGTAACTTCAGATTTTTTCAATTTGCCAATGGCAAAACACCTGGCTATTTCACGAATTCCTTCGACAACATTACGGCTACCCGTATACAGCATTATGAAAATGGCTTTCATCACTAATGGACGTATGAGTAAGGTGGCAGTTCTTTAGGACGTATGAGTAACAATGGGCATGGCGGTTCTTTTGGACATAATATGAGTAACTCTGGACGTGGTGGTTCTTTCGGATATGTAAGTGACACTGGACTTCGCGGTTATTTTGGACCCAGGAGTTCTAAAAGACGTGGTAGCTATAGAGGATTTTAGTGGACGAATGCGTTAACAGAGAAGCCGTAGTGGAGGATATCGCACCGGTTCGCAAGGTCACCGCGACAGGTACAGAAATCACCACAGTTCCTTTGGACAGCGCAATTCTAGTAGACATCCTGGATGACCAGTTAGTAGCATTTAACACAGTTCAAATTATTTCAATTATCGCTATGATATCAAACGATATTGTTTGTAAAACATATTGAT